TGATTCTTTTATCAGTAGGAAGACACAATCACTGATATTTTTGCTCTTGAGCCCTACTAATGTAGCCGTGGATGCATCTGAAACTAATGCAGCGCAAAATTCACAAATGTTCTTTTTATTGAGGACCCATCTGAACCAGTAGGGTGAGGTTGATATGATAGCGGTACAATGTAATGTAATTTAAGCAAATGTATTAAACACATGAAAGAATATTATTTGTGCCCATCAATATGGAGCTTGTTGAGAGGTTGCTTTGCTCACTCTGTAGGGTCGTGTTCCGCTCAGGCAACCACTACGTCCATCGGTACACTCGTGGGGCTCCTTACACTTGCGGAAATACAGCACATGTTTGGAAACGACCTGAATGGCTTCATAAGTCTAATCAAGGTCGAGGGCGTCCTCTAGAGATACATAGGTTGAAGAGAAGTGGCTCGTTCTCAGCTCCTTAGAACATATCCTTGGGATGAGTTTTTGTCTACGATACATTAGATTTGGCAGGTTCGAATAGAGTCCGCTCAGTATAGAATTTTTCACTATCATTATGTGTATAGTTGGTGATTCGTAAGGAATGGCATGGGTCTATCCCAATTTCTTGGCTGGATTTTGTGTGAGCTTCTTTTTTTTGACCATTCATATCAAACGACTAATGGAACTGGACATATTCCATTGACATCCAGATTACATCAGAATTCGAGAAGATGAGCTTTCAAGAAGATCTACTTGAACTTCCTGATTTTTCAACTTCTACAGTACCATGCACTCTCGTACAAGAGGTGGTCGCTAGAATAGTTTTAGCTAACAAGTTGAAAGCTAAGGACTGATCTTAGAGCCAAGAGTCTCACACTTCGGAACCGGAGGCTCATGTGTAGAGTTGTATGAAAATGTTGCCCTAGCTCACTGAAAAAGTTAAAAAAAACAGATTTCTAAAAAATTTTCAAGTCACAGCACTTCCTTATTTTTTAAGATTCATCATCATTCATCTCACCAATGTGTAACACTGTCATTATTGTGCATGTTTGTGGATTGATTGTCTAGTTTTTTTTCGTCTCATTTGCTGTGAATTGTAATGGCTGTTGTTTCTTACGTTGCCTTATGCAACGTAATAATAAACAATAATCAATAAACAACGGAAAAGCTGAGACTGCTAGCGAAGCCGTGCATGCGTTACGTGGAAAGTTTGCGCCATCTCAATGTCGAGGCTCAGAATACTCTTTAGAAGATTCCACTATATGCATGAGTGAGTGATTGCTTTCCTATGCCCTAAAATTGTAAGGAAATCTTATGTGTGTGCTGCTGCATGTGCTGCATGTGCTGCTGTTTGAATTGGTGATGTTTCAAACAGAAATATGTAAAGTTGTAACCTATTTTGAAATTCAAATAAAAACAGAAAAGCTACTATATTAACTACCCCTAGCTATTACTATTAACTACTACTATATATAACTCAATATCAGTACACCTTTTGGGTTATGGGCTATATTATGCAGGCTGCACAATGATGGCCTAGCCAGTCTACCTAGTCAAAAAAGTGACATTCAGTCGACCGGATCATGCCTTTGTGATTTGTCATTCATTTTTTTCCTACGATCACTGAATTGATAGGGCCGCTCCATCACCAAGGAGTCTTTGAAGGATGTACATATTTCTTTTCTTGAGGAGAGGGGTGTGTGCTACACTTCAAAGAAGTGGCTCGAATAAATGCTTGACGGTATGCCGCGCATTCAACTAAATGTCAGGATAGACCAGGCTTCACAGGCTACATCCACCACTGTGAGTGCCAAATTTTGGAATCCAATAGGCTTCCAGTTCTCCCGGGGTGGATTTCATACGACCAGACGAGCACCATCACAGCCTCCTATCAAAATACCTTTCAATCGAATTCAACCCTCCTCCATAATCCTTCTAAATGAAGTGAGTGATAAGGAAGCTCATGGAGTAAACACCGCTAACAAATCGGGTAGCTTACAGGACTTGAGATATCAATGTTTTGTAGCAGGATAGTTGTGATAACACTCTTAGGGCTATATAAACACCTGCTTAGCACACTTCCGGTCATTCCACATGGTGCTGCAGGGCGGCTGGAAGGCAGTGGAGGAAGGAAGAGAAGATGGGAAGTGGAGGCGGAATATCTACCGTCATGTCATGATTATGGCGATCCCTTCTACTATATGAAACCCCTTTGTGTTGCATACGCGTCACTTCCAGGAGGTTTTGGGTCACAGGAGGAAGGGACCATAGCGGAAGGTAGA